TTTGCTTCCTGAATTGTTATTTATTTATTTAAGTAAGAAATTTTTAAAAAAATATTGATTTATTATTTATATACTTAACATTTTTAAGGGATATATATATAAATTTTTGTGTGTGTACTACTATGTCAAAGCTGATTACAGCAGTGATCTTTGGTTTAAAAAATTTAATTTTAACAAAAATATAATTTTTATGATAGCAGTAAGCAGTTATCATAGTTATTGATAAAATTTGGCATTATATTAATATGTAAATAAAGGTAAATGTTAAAAACATACCTCTCATACTTTTCCAGCTTGAGTTTATCTATACTAATATTATAAAGAGATAAAGTTTGTAAATTTGGATGTAGGAGGTAATCTCTGAAACTACTCATTCGATTTCAAAAACTCTTTCACCAATATTTGCAATGGACCTTCAGGGTGGATATAGGCTGTATATTATTCTGTTAAACATTCATATAAATTAAAAGATATCATCTAGGTAAGCGTTATATTTTTGGTATCAGCAGGTGGCGAGGTGCAAGACTCATATGTATATGAGATAGGTGCAGATGAGATGCATATGAGATATGCATGGTGCAGTCGCGTTGTTGGTGAGATACGCAGTGCATGTGTCTGAACTTGTATATTATACAGATGTCGAAATCCCCCTGTGGGGGAGAGGGACAAAATTAAGGCTTACCGTGAAGAACTCTGCTTCTATTATACTATTTTAGATGTGGTTATGTGGTTTTTTGTGTTTTTGATTGCAGTTTAATAGAGTACGTCGAGAGAATGTACGCTAAGAAGGGATTTTTCGAAATTTCTTCTCACAGGGAGTGTTATACATTTATAAAGATACATTTTGAGCCACAGCTAGTTTACAATAAACAAACAAATGTTTTTGGTTCATTCATAAATCTGCTTCAGATCTAGTATTCACATTCGAAAAATGAACATTGTTCTGAAATTAATTTTCAGAATAATGCATTTTTCAAAATGTGAATGCTAGATCTGAAGCAGTTTTATAAATAAACTGAAAATGTTTATTTATCTTAAATAAATTCAAGCTGGTAAAGTATGAAAGGTTATGCTTTTAATGTCAATTGTTCCAGCATTAGCATTTATCTTTAATTCGAAGTACTAAGTTTGATAGTAATTTAATATGATAGTAATTTAATAATGAAATCTTTAATAGCTGAATAAGCTCAAAATCATGTGATTGTATTATATTTAGTCTGTCTCATAAGTAAATATTATATAAATGAATTTTTTATTAGTTAAAATGCTTATCAATATTTATGAAATATTGTAATAATAAAACATTAAAAAAGTAATAAAAATGATTACAATCAATATAGATTGTATGAGATGAAATTGAAGCCAGAATAAAATAAAAAACAGATGACATCTCTTTCACAATATTAAAAAAATAGAAATTGTATTTTTATTAATGATTTAAATTAATTATAAGATCGTTTTAAAGTTGCGCAATAAATTATTTATGACTTGAAAGGAAACTACTGTAAGTAGGTTTTTATATAAGATAGCATTTATCCTAGTTTCTAAATACACTTGAAAAATGACACCAGTAAAAATATACATCAAATTTTTATTTTTATTGTGTATTTTTCTTTTAAAGAAGGTGCATTTAACATTGAAAGTGATTCTGACAACTTATAATAAACATTTTCCTGAAGTTGTATTTTAATTTCACACAGATGGGGCTTTTTTTTTTTATAAATATATTTGAAATAATTTTATTTTTTATTCTATTAAATATTGTATGCTATATAAAATCAATTTAAATATTGAAGTGCACTGAACTGAAATTTAAGGATTTTCGTATTCTTTTGTACTGTTGCTTATAATAAAAGTTACTGAAGCATATAGATAATGCTACAGTTATATTGTTAGATTTTCCAGACAGTATCATGTGTTTCTTAATTAAATAATAAAAGTAATTTTATACCAGACATCTGCATGTATTCATTTTATGAGTGTGTATGAAAGATAAAATTATAAACCTGTGCTGTTTAACATAAGTATATAAATATATTTGTTATACGTAACTTTAAGTTACTTTTCAGAAATGATAATATTAAACATTTTTAGTAGTTGAATTAATTAAAATTTATTCTTAATTAATCCAACTGATTAAATGTGAGAAACAAGTTTTAAGAAATGTTTGTTTTCATTTGTTCAATTTTTTTATTTTTATTAATATATATAATCATCATTTCTAATGCAACTACATTTGCTGTTTAGGATTTTTGTGATATTGAAGACCTGTAATTTTTAAAGAATATATCAGCTAAGAACTCAGATTTTACTTGCTTTAAAGTTCTAAATAGATCTTTCAATATTTGATTAGTATAGCACTTATTTCAAATGCATTTTAACACGTGGATTCTTATTGTATGTGGTTGTCAAGAACTTGTACGGGGACCTTTTTACCTTCATTTTTTGTACAAATGAAATATGTAGGATGTTCGTTTATTTATAAAAAGCAATCCTAAAGATTTAATTTCCTATTAGTAAAAATAATGCTTCTTCACTTATAAATTAATGTTAAGTGCTCTTATATCTTCTGAATGGTCCCATGTATAGGTTACTGTATATCTGAATGAATGTGTGCATCCACTAATATAAAGATTCAGTGTATGAATTATTTTTCTATTATACAGAATGTTTTAGTATTATTATCAGGGCTGTGGAGTCGGAGTCATGGAGTTTTGGTGTTTTATCCGGAGTCGGAGTAGTCAAAAAATCCGCCAACTTTGACTCCTTTTTACTTACCAACTTGTTATGTATATAAAACAGAAAAGTATTGAAATTGTGTCAAATTTGACCCTCCAAGTTTTTGTTTGCAAATCTACACGTCTGGAGACCTCCCAAACTCCTCAAAAAAGTCAATAAAGGAGAAAAATTTGCACGCGCGTGTGTTGGCGTCTAATTTGTTTAATTTTTTTATTTTCTGTTCTGAGATATTAAACAATATCTCAGAACGGGTAAAGTTTAAGAAACAAACTGTGGCACTGTAGTTTGCATATAAAGGGGCATTAATACTATTAAATTTTGATTCTTAATTAAAGGTCGACAGGGTGAAGCATAAAAGTGGTCACGTGTCATATCTCTTAATGAATATTTTACTAGTTATTAGCATTCAAAATTTAAAAAAAATATAACAAAACTCCTCTCTACCCTCAAAGTAAGCTATTTAGCCATTTTATAATAGTACAGTAAAACCCGTTAAGATGTTCTCGCCTGAGATGTTAGAATGTATATGGGGGCACAATTTAGTTCAACCACTTTAACGCTTAATAACTAACTTCTGTGTTAAACCATCTGACTCCGATTCTGTCCACTCTGACCACAAAAATTATTAGGCTTCAAACAGAGTGAACAAAATCATGCCCTCCACACAGTCTAACATCCACACATATAAAAAAAAACCTTGAATCTTTTGCATATCTCGAAATTTCAAGGTGTTCCGAGTCCAAAAATGTAAAAATATGGGAGGGGTCATTTTTTGAGCGAGTGCTACACTTTTCCTCTGTTATATATAACAGTCGGAAAAGTAAAAATTATCGAATACATATTTATATATTACTTAGAGAAGTCTTTTAGCTTTGGAATAAAAAGTTTCTACGCTTTATCTTTATTACAACTCTATTTATTGAATCTTTTATTCTGAGGTCACGTGATGACATCAGAATTTCCGGGTTTCTTTCGGAAACAAGTCTGCCCTGGTCGGAGTCGGATGGTAAGGAAAAGTCAGGAGTTGGAGTCGGTAGATTTTTACGCGACTCCACAGCCCTGATTATTATTTACTAGTAAGACAAACAAAAATGAAAAATTAGAACATTTCCTTAAAATGCAAAAGGTATGTTTTTATTATAAAAATTATATTTAATATTATTTAAAGCCAATATTACATAGTAGTATTCTTTTGTATATGCATAAAGTAGAATATAGAATATTATCACAATTTTTTATTTCATTAACATCATGTTTAGCAATTCTTATAAGATAAGATAGAAATGCACAGATATATTAAATTTAATCTATAATTTTTCTAGACTAAAATTTTTACCAATTATTAATTATTTGTATATTTTAATACATTTACAGATTTGCTTTAATTCTGATGAGCTTTTCAAGTTGAAAACAAAGTCATCTTCAGAATGAAGCAGTCTTAAATTCTGATTATCATTTCAATTCTAAGGCAGTCTATAAAACACAAACTATGTAAATTTGAGCAGTTTTTTTATAATTATTTTTTAAAAAATTCCTAATAGTTAAGTTATTTTAATTTTTATACATGAATTATAAAATTTATGTGATTGTATGCTGAGATAACAAACATTAGTTTGACATATGATACTCTACTACTGTGGATTTAATTTTTGTAAATAATTTTTGTATTTTTAATTTATCTCTCCATTTTCTGATGCTTGGAATTATTTTTCAATTGACATAAACATTCCAAATTTTGAATAATGTATAAGTTCAAATTAATATCCTATATTATTTTTAGCAAGATAACAACTCACGGTCCAGTGATTCAAATTATCTTTTTACGCACGGAACTAGGTAACGCTATACTAGAGATAAAATGACATTTGTTGAGATTATTAGCTTTCGACTAATGATGTGTTTATAACAAGTTTCGAAAACATTTATATAATAAAATTCTAATTTATTTTATTTGTATATAATAAACTATTTTTCAGTTATTGAAGTTTATATAAAATCAACTAAAATATGTAAATATTTATATAATTAAAGACAAAACTTTATTTGAGTTTATGTACAAAAATATCTGAATTATTTTAATAATTTGACCTTAATTAATTAAAATATCAGAAGGTGAACCAATATGAAGTTTCAGATTACTTTAAACTGTAGAATAATGTAACATGATACAGGTATTTTCATTTAAATATTAAGAAACTCTGTGGAATTAATATGTAAAAATTAAAACATAAGTTAAAGTTATGATAATTTATTATATTTAGAAAAAAGCCCTTGGATCAGATCTTTATGAGCAAGTGTATTATCACATTGATCTTGTGGAAAAAGACTATTTTGGATTACAGTTTATGGATGCAAATCAAGTGCAGGTATTTTAATTTTATACTTTATGTTATCCAAATAACTGTTAATTATATTTATATTTTTTTAATTATTGTTGTCCTCATCCATAGAATAAACTGGCTTTTCATTATATTGCTGACTAAGTCTCGACAATAGCTATTGAATTAGAATGATATGTATTTAAATAATATTTATAATGAATGACTTAATGCTTTTTTGCTATTGTTTTTTTTAAGAATTTAATATTTCTCTTCCTCTATAATTGTAATAAAATTTGTGATGATACATTATATTTGCATAATACATTTATAGCTGGTCTATGTAAAGAAAATTCATTAAAAAATTCATGAAACACTCCATCTTTTTGGTAATTCACAAAACCACTTGTTTTATTGGAATCGGAAATCAATGTGTAGCATCTTCCCAAATACTTTCGAATCAATTAAATTCATCTCAGGGAAATTATTACTAAAAAATTGCTCTTGAAACTCCTGTTTAGTATTTTAGACACTAAATTTTTATCAAAGCAGTCTGAAATAGATGATTTCATGAAGATTTTTTGTAAATTTCTAAACATTTATTTCTATAATAGATTAGTGTGTATGCATTTAGAATTGTATATTATGACAAACTATTTTATAATACTGCATTGTGTTTTAATAAAAATTATCTTATATTTTCAGCATTGGCTAGATCCAACAAAATTAGTTAAGAAACAAGTAAAGAGTAAGCATCATTTTAATTACTTACTTGTTAGTTGTGCTTTGATAAATTTTGTATTTTATTTTTTTATTTAGTGTAGCAGAATGCCATTATAACAAACTATAACTTGTTACTTTATCTCACTTAAAAGTTAACTTCTAAATGTATAATCAATCCAACAGAATAAATGATCAACCTGGTTGTTGATTTGAGTCCATCTTTAGATAAACCTTTCTTCCAGGTGTTTCTAAATTGTTATTAATTAAAAAGTTTCAATTATTAAATTTATTACAGGATGGCTGCAGGATCTAGCTTTAGTGCCAAATTTGTTAATAACTTAGGTTGTAGCACAAATATATCCCAATTGATAGTTGTTTAGTTAAAATGGCATTATTTTGAAATCTTGTTTGTATGTGATTAAATCAAATCTACATTTATTATATAATAAGTATAATAAATTTAATTATATAAAGATTACATTTAAGTCGTGTAATTTATTTCAAACACAATAAAGAATTTTGTTGTCTGCAGCTCTCGATGTTCTCAGCCAGCCGTAACTCTATCCCGGCAGATTATGGAGCTGTGAACAGTACATGTTCTTGATCAGTGAAGCAATAATTGATAAAGAATTTATACCAATTTCTAATTTTTATATTAAGAAATAATTAACTATTTATATTTCAGAGTGAAATTGAATTTGCTATTTTTGTACTGTAATGTATATTTTCAATATAGTAAAATTCATAAAACAACTTCTATAGTATATCACTTAGTCATGTACAGTACATACAGCAAATATGACAAAATATATTAGTTTTCCAGTTTAATATACAATCAAACATCCTTACTACACCCTATACGTTTTAAAGCTATACAACATCAACAAATAACAAACAGCAAACAAGCATCAACAAATATTCGGCTTTTGTTGATGTATAGTTTAATATACATTTTTTGTGTGTTTAGAAGATTTTTAAAAAGAAAATTTGTATTTTTGAAGGAAAGGTTTCAAAATATATGAAACTACAGTAACTTACTGCAACTATGGAAATTCAGACACCCATGAAATCTTTGTATGTAAGAAATAGAAACCTGAATTATAGAAATTTATGAGTGCTATTACAAAGGTTTCATATATGTCTGAATTTCCATAATCACAGTTTCAATTTCTTTTAGCTTACAAAGTTTTCACACGTGTTTGAACTAACATAAAACAGACATTTGCATATTATTGCTGGATAAAAGCCTAGTTGCAGTAATAAACGAATTGTTTGATATTAAACTTGGTTGTTTACAATTCAGATATTATATACTAGTGTATATATCTGTTAATTGAACTGAAGAATTTTCAATAAAACATTTATGAATGGAAACAATAAAATAATCAATACTTTTAAAAAATAATTTCAATGAAATTAATAGCAAACGATGAAGAAAATCCTACAAGCTGGATTCTTTGGATTCTTATATTCTTGTCACACACAGAAAGGCTTTCCAATACTATTGTGAATCTTTATCAGAAACAGCTTTCAGGTTGTTCTTTGGATTTTAACATCAGTTTAGTTATTAAAAAAAATACACTACAAATTAATTTCATAAAATGAAAGATGAGTTTATGCTTATATATGTTTGGTTAGGTTCAAATTCAGATTAATTCAAATTATCAGATTTATACCATTAATAGTTTCGTCTAATTCCCAAAGATGAATAATAGTCTCATGCTAATAGTAAGTACTCTCTAATAAATAGTATAGCTGCAAGATGAAAAATGCTGTTGACAGTGTCATGGGTTCTGCAGAAAATTTTACTGGATGGCAAAGCTTGGTGACAAATTTTTATTTAATTATTAAATTATTTGGGTTTTTGCATGAGTAGATTATAACAGTGTTCTTCAACTCTTCAACCTTGGGTCATGGAAATTTCCACCAATCTGCAAAAAATTTCGTAGACTGACACGAAATTTTGTAATAGCAAAATAATAAGATTTTAAACTTGTAATTAATATAAACTGCTTTTGTCTATTTTTTATTATTGCAATTTTAATCGTACTACCACCTCATGTTTCTTTAACTTTTTTCCAGTGTTCTACCTGTTCCTCCTATGTAGCATTTTGATCTAGGACATGTACATAATATTTTATAAATTAAAAAATTCAAGGATAATTTGGAGATTGCAGGAGTGATTTATAAAATATTATGTACATGTCCTAAATCAAAATGCTACATATGAGGAACAGGTAGAACACTGGAAAAAAGGTTAAAGGAAAATGAGGCGGCAGTACAATTGAAACAGCAAGAATCACCTTGGTACAAACATTATTTCTGTAATGTTTATAAATGTAAAATTAATAATGTTAAAATTCTGTATAAAGTTAAAAATTTGGTAAAAAGATGCATTATTGAGCATTACTGTATACAGAGTCATGCAAATGTGATAAATTTAAATATGGGTATGGCTGTAGATGCATGCTGGGACAACATATTCCAGCACAAAAGAACTTCTGTAAACTAATACTGTATCCACTGATGAGGCCAGTGAACGGCAAAATGCATTTGGATAAAAAAGTAAAAATAAATAATTAGTATCTGATTGTTATTTTGTTTATTTTGCCCTAAAAAATCTCTCAAAATCAGATAGAATGAGTATTATATTACTAATTTTTCTAAAGATATTTTATTTTTAGATTTACATTTTTTAAGAATTATTGCAACCGATCCCATAGCTTTTATTTTAAATTTTTGTTTTTAATTATATATATATATAATATCTCATTCACTTTTACAATTATAGTTTGTAAAACTTTTAATCAAATCAGATGCAGTTGCCCATGGACAGTGTGCTGTTTATTAGAGTAAATACATTTAAAAACATTAACCGTTCTATATATACTGTGTGGTAATTTGCTCCCACTAGGTAATGCTAGAGTAACATTACTGAGACTTATCTATTGTTTGTGTGTACTGCAATGTGTTTTTAATGTAAAGACTATCAGTTTAGACTTCAGAGCATTTTAGAGTTAATATAATATAAAAATTTTGCAAAAAAGACAGCTGTTTCCTTAGCTACTATTGTATTAATAAAGCAAAAGAAAAATATTAAGAAAATGTTCATAAAACATCACTTTCACCATCTCCACTTTCTTTTTCTGATAACCCCCTTAACTTGGCATTCATTTGACACCTTAAGTTGTGCCATTTTTGGATAATTTCCACTTTAGAAATGTTTAAAAATTGTATATTTTTAAGGTCCTAGCTGTTTTCATTTCCTCATGGTACTCTTTTAATGAAAAATTGCACAGTTCTGGAAACACTTCATATTGTTCAATTAATAGCAGAGTAGCCTCTCTGCTTTACTTGTGATCTTTACCTTCACTTGACACAGTACACATGCTGAACAAAACTTTACTGAGAGTGCATATATCTATTTGTACAAACAAATAGAATTAGACAAGTCTATGCCAGCAATCTATGTATTGTTTACACTACTACTATAGCTAGACTACTATCACTCTGGCAATAGCTGATATAAGTCTTACTAGAACAATCTCACTAACATTTACACTATGTAGAGAGCAAATCTAGCCAAAAAGTGTATGATGTACATGCAGCTTTAAGGAAAGTATTTTATAAATAAATTATAGTTTCATTGCTCATCTTCATTAACAATAGGAATTTTTGAATGTAAGAATATTTTTTAATTTTCTAAAATTTCAATTAAAATGACTTTAAAAAAACTGGCAAGGAGTCTTGTTTGAACTTTCCCTGAACATGAAGGAGGTTGGAAAGATAATTTTCAATTATACTACAATGTAAAATTTAAATAATGATGAAAACTTAAAAGGAATAATTTTGTTGAATTATGAGAAATATTTTAAAAAGATGATAAATTTAACTTTCAAAAAACGCTAAAAGACTAGTTCAAAGTTAATATTGTTTGTGGCACCATCTGTTTTGAGATCTAAAAATTAATAAACACACACACAATTTTGTAAGGGATTTTTTTTTTTTTTTGTCTCCTGGAGTGTCAAAACATTACAAAATGCAAAGAAAAAAGCTGGGGAAATAAAAAATTTGAATAGTAACTGCATTTTTCGTATGTTATATTTTATAACAGCCAGGAAACTAATAAGAATTTAAAAAGCTTCTGAATGAAGTATTTTATGATTTTATAAACACAAGAATTGAATATTTTATATCATTTTAATCAAAAATAACTTTTAGATAAGGCTTAAAATTTAAAAAGAAATTTAATCTGTTTAAAAAAATATTATTATTATTATTTAAGCACCGAACAGATTTAATGTTTTCGACTAATGAGCCAAATTTTATGTATTATGTTAACTTAATAATTTGCCAATATAAATGCAATAAAAGGAATTTTCTCATAAAAGATTGTTAAATTTTGATTCAAGGTCTTTTATTCTATTCTCGTTATTTGTTTAAACTTGTACAAATATATTTTCAAACATAATTGGCATGATTATAATCCTTCAAGAAAGAATTTTACTGTTCAGTTGCATAATTTTTATATTTTCCAGATTTCAAAGCAGTGATTTAGTATTAAACTTTTCAAAAATAGAAATGAAGTCATAATTACACAAATGGAAATTGAGTTAACCTTGTTTATCTAGTTTCAATGACCCAATAAATAAATCCACTTAATTTGTTTATTTCGTAACATAATTGAGGAAAAACTTTTATTATCGACTGAATTTATCAATACGAGTTGGATTATTTACTAAAATATTTTAAAACTTTATTTTCCTTAAAGTTCTGATTCATCTCTCACAGTTTATATATAATTTTATTTAATTTATATGCACAAATTGGCTTTAAAATGAGAAAAAAAATTATGATGCCATAAAGGGAAAGTATGAATTTACTCCATATTTTTTTTTTAAAGTGTGGAGGTTGTGTCAAGGCTACTAAACAAAATCTTGCTAGATAGTGATAATGTGCACTGATATACGAAGAAAACTGGTTTAACAGAGAACAGATAAACACTCTGAATAATTAAGCTATGCAAAACTCTAATAAATTAGTAAACATAATTGATATATGATTAATGAATGACAAAAAAATAAAATTATTCTATTAATTAGCCTAGTTTGATTCATTTTTTTTGCACACTTAATCTTCTTGCACCTGCTCTTACTATTTTACAATTTGGTACAAGGTCATAACTTAATTAAAACTCTCCTTCCTCACATAGCAGAAAATATGCAAAATATTAAAATGTTTCGGGTTTCTTTTGTTATGAGATAAACTTTATTGCCTTCCACTGAACTCTTAATCAGTTCATTTATTATACATTATCTACTTGTTGAATTTGATAGTGTGAGAGATATATCTAATGCAGTAGAAATTCAAAATGTTTTTATATGAAAAATTTATTTATTAAAAATAAATATAAAGAGTTAGCTTTAAATCTTACTTATAATTCTTCCAATTAATCATAATTATGAGTTTAAAAGTTAAAATTTATTTTTTGAATACTTTAGATACAAAACTTAATTTTGTATTTGCTGATGATAAATTTAAAATACAAAATTTGAAGGGATAAAAAGTTGTTTAATTATATATTAGTTTAAATCCAACACATGCCAGATTAGGTTCAATTAAAAATATATTAAGAAAAAGCAAAATTATGTTTGTATCGTAATAAATTTATTTACAGTATCATATAAAAATCAACTTTTGAAACCTGGTACTGTATATTTTGGTCTTTATCTTTATTTAATATATAAAGACAATGCAAATAAATATATCATTTTCACAATAAAATATCAAAGTTCACTGTCTATGCTTCTGTTTTAATTCTTTATTTTATCTCTAGTTTACATATGTATATGTCTAGAATGATTTGACAAAGTGAAATACCCAAATAAATTTTTAGAAAATAACCAGACTTGTTTAGTTATTTTCTAAAAACTAATATTTTTTAACCTGCGAGATTTACAGTATTAGAATGGCTGTATGCATAAGGTGGTAATTTTCCACTGGATTTTTTTATGGATAATTATGCTGTATATGTTTATTTTACTAGATATTTTGTTTATGAAATCCTGTCTTCTCCCACAGAAAGCTTCTCTTTGTGACAGCAAGGAGTATTGTGAAATGAGTTTGGCTGGAAATGAATTATAGGAAGGCTGAAGTGTTTCTCAGAATAACCAGAAAATGATTTTTCTATATTTTTTGGGCAAGAAATAAAGCTGCAAAAAAAATTTAAATTGTCAAAAGTTGTAATGCTCTAGGCTAACTCACGGAGACAAGCATTCAAGGTCGTAGGGACTTGCTAACTGCCATATCACAATGTCACTATTCTCTTTTGTGGCAATCTTGAGAAATCTGCATCACCAACTGCATTGAGAAGTGACATCCAAATAGAAAACTGTCACCTTATGCATATGGTTACATTAAAAAAATTGTACGGGAGAATACACACAAGGTGTCAAATTTCCACAACAGTTTGTTGAGGACCCATGATAAGCAGAGAGAACTTTTTTGACTGAAATTTTTAAACAGGCAGATGGATCATGAATAGCATGATGATATTGTGGAAGCACAGCAAGGTCAATTCAGTAAAAAATTAGTGTGAAAAATCTAGTAGGTTTGGAAAATCACTGCTACTGCATATGATCACTGGTTGAATAAGAACATTTTTTCTTTTAATTATATGCTTTATACACTAGATATTTTTTTTTAATGCCAGAAAAATCACAGTTTTAAAGTTTAATGTTTATAAAAATCAATTAAATTCTTGATACTTTTCTCAAATTTAAAGGATGGTTTTAGGTAAAGCTTCATGCAACAGTTTAATTGTTTGATTTCACTTTCATATTTTTGAGATCCAGAAGGTTGTACAGTAAGCATTAGCTTATGGTTTCAGGTTTAAATACTCAAAAGGATATCATATCAGTTATCAAGAGATCCTCATAGTTCTTTAGTATGATTGAAGAACCAGCAGAAATCCTTCACTCATCACAAATGATACAAATGCTCACAAAAATGGAATAAATAATAAAATTAATCTAAAGTGTCTTCATATTTTTTTAATTCACTAGGCTGTATTTTCTTCTTCAGATTCAATTGTGTCGAATAACTCCAACAATTTGGCAGGAGACTGAGTGTGAATGATGACTATGTGCCCCATTTGTATTTGTGCTAGAAAATTCTATGCTAAATCTCGTGAACTTACAAACACCACTTGAAAAAAGTTTTCTATACATGTCAACAGATATCTAGCTGTCTGTAAAGTTTCATTTTTGTCAGTAAATACACGAGCATACTACAATGACAAAAACTTGGATGAATATATACGTGCATACTGTTAGTTTGTCACATGGTCATGTATGTTTATGGGAGTATTCGTCAAAGGATTAAGTTTCAGTCAAAAATTAAATCTAAATCTTCATGGTTTGCTTTAGAAAGTTCAAAACCAACCCCCATTAAGAAAATTTCCTATCATCTATATCTCTTTTCTCTCTCTCTCTGTCTGAAAATAATATACTAATAAGACAAATGTTAATATTTTACTGTTACAATTTTAGAAAGAAAAAATCATATTTTGTTTTATATTTTTTCAGTTGGTCCTCCTTACACTTTGTGGTTGAGAGTGAAATTTTATTCTTCAGAACCAAATAATCTACGTGAAGAATTAACTAGGTATTGTAACATTTTTGACTATTCTTAAGAAGATTTACTTGCATTTATAATAATCATTAAGCAGATACAACAGAAGTAAATAGTATAATAAACTATAATTAAAATGTATTGTATTTAGTAACTAAACTTATTTATAGGTACTTATTTTTTCTACAACTGAAACAAGATATATTATCTGGTAAACTACCTTGCCCCTCAGATACGGCTGTTGAATTATCTGCCTATGCTTTACAATGTAAGTTGTGCATTAATTTATATTTCTAGAAGGTAAATGTAATAAAGTTCTATAACTGCAGGTGTATTGTTCAAAGTTAACATTATGTTAAGATGTGGAAACTTTAAACTGTGTATCTGTTGTTGTAGTTGTTAATTATCTAGAAATAACATTACTGCCTATAAATCGATCACTGACTGGTTGAAGCATGGATTGAAAATTGGAAAATCTGATCTAAAAGTGATGAAATTGATCTAGTTAAATAATTACAAGCAATTATTTGACAATAGCACTAATATTTTTTCATATTTCGAAACCGTGTTGTATCTTTATATTTGTTTAAAAAACTGCAATGTAGCACAGTAATCAACACATGGCATAACTCATTCATTTATTCCAGCTTTTTGTTGAGACGCGTTTCTACACACGTTTCGGGCTCCGTTTTTGCCCCTCCTCAGTCAACTAAAACATATAAAAACTAATTATATACATATTATAACCCGACATATGAATTAAAAAACGACAAAAATAAAAGTATATTTCGTTGGTATATACAAGTAAGACATAACATACCATTTTCTAAGTAAATTCCTTCTCTGGATGTATTTTTTTCCTTGAACNAATTTAAAGAGAGTATAGAAATTATAAAAAATAAACATTGTATAAATAAAAACTTAAGTTTAAAAATTAACGAGAATTGGCTAAAAATACTGTAAAAGAATTTGGAAAGAAAAATTATTTGAAAAAAGAGAATTTTTGGAAAATAAAAAAGAAAAAAATTTTTTGGAGTGGTATTTAAAAGAAATACGAAACATAATTAAATCTTGCCTACCAGAAACCATATGGTTATGTAAATCATCATAGAATGGAAACGCCTCTAGAATCGAAGAGTTGAAAGAACGGAATTAAGAAAGTGAGGCCTAGTTACTTCGTATCGATATAAATATTAAAGAAGAAAAAATGTGCTGGAAACTCATTAGAGGTCCTCGCAGATACTTAAGAAAACCTAAGTAAATGAGTATGTAAGGATAAATTTGGAATATCGTCTAATACTCAGGTTCAACTAAAAACTGAGTTCTTCTGGGGTATTTTTATACGAAAAATTTTTCAGAGGAAGGTATAGTGATACAAACAACCGTGAAAAAATAGAGTAACTAAAATCTGCGAAGTGTGGCAAATTTGTTTAGGTAAGATCTGTTTACCTTTATGTTATAATAGTAAACTATTAATAGAAAGAAAGCTTAATATTAATTGTACATAAAATAGTATTAATATTCAAACACTAACAAATAAGATACAAAGAGGATAAAGACAGAAGAATTATAAGGAACATACGGAAAAAGAAGAACTCTGCCACATGTCCATTGTAATCCTTTGTGACACTTCAAGAACTCTACTGTGACTAAGTATGTAAGAAAAAATCCTGTATATTGTTAATACCTACATGTTGAGTACACTAATTGTGTTGTTTTTTATGGTCTTCAAAGTATAGTAGAATTTAGATAAGACAGTCTGTGTCTGAAACGTGAAGAAGTGAGATTGGGTCTTCAAACTGATATCTGAAATAATCAAGTATATAGAGTATGATTCCCGTTCAAGGAAAAAATACATACAGCGAAGGAATTTATTTAAAAAATGGTATGTTAGGTCTTACTTGTATATACCAACGAAATATACTTTTATTTTTGTTGTTTTTTAATTCATATGTCGGGTTATAATATGTATATAATTAGTTTTTATATGTTTTAGTTGACTGAGGAGGGGCAAAAACGGAGCCCGAAACGTGTGTAGAAACGCGTCTCAACAAAAAGCTGGAATAAATGAATGAGTTATGCCATGTGTTGATTACTGTGTTACATTGCAGTTTTTTAAACAAACTAATATTTTTATTTTATTTATAATACAGTACAATCTTAGTAATCTGGCCATTTACTAGTTTAACACATCCAGTAATCCAACACTAGTTGATTCTTATACTACATTCACGCACAATTCATGACTCACTCCGATCTCGATTTGCCTACAATCTGGATTGTAACTGTCACCGGACAAAAGTTGAGCTGTTCGCACAGGCAGTCCGCTTGAGAAGAACCCGGCTGTTACAAGTGATGATAAAACTGACGTAACTACACGATAAGTCATGAACACCAACAAACAAAATGGAAGTTTTGGTTAGAAATAAATACTTTCTCTTGTCATATCAACAGAGAAATAAAAAAGACATCTGTCTTTTTTATTTCTCTGTTGATAGCCCGACGCATGTTCCACAGCCATCTTGTATTTTCTCGTGTGCGTGGGATTGTGGGATTTCTCTTATGACTGGATCTAGTTTCAAGAACTCTCTTGAGTTGATCGTGATTGAACCTCGTTTCAGTCGAGATTGAAACAGTCGAGAGAGGTTGCACCGCTGCATAGTCGCCGACCTTGGTCACAATCTAGATCGAAATGCTCAGTGCGAACAGAGTATTAGGTATTACTGATAATGTTGCCAGATGTTAGATGAGCTTCCCACTAGTTCAAACTCAAACTTTTATTAAATTTGAACACCCCACTGAATATGGCATGATGTATTTCCCAAGCTTGAGTGTTTGGGCTTGGACACAATATTAAAGATTGTTATGCTCATTGTCTTAGGCTGCTCAAAATAGTACAGTATCTTATGACATAATATGGTATAAATATAAAAATCAGTCTCCTGAAATTTTCCACCAAAAATACATTACCTTCCACTAAATTTCTCAGTCATCCATTTTTCACTGAATATAGGAGATTTCACTAATTTGGCAATGTCAATTACTGGTGACAGTAGCATGCTGGGGTGTTTTAAAAATAGTCCAGCTTGTTTTGCTGCATTATTAACAGCTGACTCCACACTGTCAAATTTGTTTGTGCTCAATTATTTTAATTATTCAGCATTTTCTACCAGAATTAAGATTACCAGATTATTTCCAATAATCTGGTAATCTTAATTCGATACTGCTCTGTTTCCATGTATAATAGGTTATCAAGGTCATATGTTAGAATTTTTGTTTGTAATTGAGTTAAAAGTATTCCATTTTAAATTTTTTTTATTGAACTTTTGATCAGCCAGTCATTTTAAGTGTAGTTACTTCCCACAAGAAAAATGCTAAATATTACAATTACTCTCAGATTATTGTTAATTTCAGATAACTATGCAACAGTGTCAGGTAGACAGCACCTCAAAGAGAGCAATAGTCTTAAAATATAAACAAATAAATAATTAAAGTGTCATAAATATTTTTCTTATATCTGGATTTTTTTACTATAGAATATTATTTATCATCATGCACTTTGTATGTAATTTTAATAACTGAAGATATAGCTAATTTGAAGAAATTAATGTTGAATCTTACTTCATAAATTTATATGAATTAAATAGGATCTCATAAAAAATAAAGGAATTGATGAAAAGTTTAATTAACGATACACAGTTGGATGGAAAAAATGGCATTATCCCTTAAAGTTAATTTGAATATAATTATATTTAAAACCTTTTAATGCAGATTTAAAAAAGTAAATTTTAAAACAAATCAATGTTGTATTTCTAACATGCAATGTTATCTCTTTATGGATGCATGAACTGTATAGGAAAATATTAAATTTTTAATTTATAGAAATATATGTATTAATTCTGACATTATAACTGTCTCATTGAATGTAACAACTCTGTTGTAACAGTTCTCAGTTAAATTATTTTCATCAGATAAACCAATGTGCGACCAACCATTAATCAGAAATTATTATGCATGTTTCTGCCATACAATCAAGATTAACTTTTCAATAAATGTTATGCAGCACATGGGGCTGCATAGAAAAGTCAGAAATTTATTAAATATTAAATTTTGTTTTGAACAATTGTCGTTCAGTTGAATTATCATCTTTTGGCTTCAAAATAAAGTCAATTGTAATTAATAATTTTTGACGAATAAGCTTTTGTATATTTAGACATTTGTTAATCTAGTTTAAATGATAACCAGTTTAAACACAGATTTAATTTACATTAAAGTATCTCATTTTATTTAAATATTTAAGTTTAACTTAATATAAAAGTTTTAATATTATTTATTTAAAGATATAACTTCACACATGAATAAATTTTATATTTGGGTATGTATGACCTCATTAAAAATTTATCAAAAATAACACTAAAATATTTAGGAGTCTAAATGCTTCAGTGTTTTATTTTTAAGTAATAAATTCTTTTATCAAACATACCAACTTTCATAAATTTACTTTATTAAAGTCACAGATCAACATATAAAATATTCCCAAATACTTTCAGATTAATTCTCTTTGAAGGTGTTTAGAGTCTAAATACCTTTAGATATAAATGTTGATTGGTGATTTCTAATAAAGTAATTTTCTTTGTGAATTTATTAAATTAATGCACAGTAGAAAAATTAATGCTTTTATTTCCCCCATAAAATAAAGATGATTCGTGTCCTCACTCTAATATAAATTTTCATTTACTATTGTTCTAAAATATTAAAATAAAATATTAATTTAATCAAATGCCTTTTGAAATACTACAAAATTAAAATTATCATAAATTTATCATTTGCTTTATTATTCATTTATTTTAATATAGGTTTGAACATTACAGTTAGTTCAAGTTTGTTTACAAACTTGTTAAAACATTTAAATTAATAATTAAATACTTAAAAAAAACTGACAGTAAATCAGTGGGAGGTAATAGTTAAATGCAAATTTTTTCTCGCTTTTTTTTTTAACTGTAAACAAATGATGTGTATGTACTTTACATTTTTTTTATTATTTTAGACTTGATTATTGTTCCATTTCATTGCACAAAGTTAATTTTCCATATACTGTTAAGAGAATTTTTACATCCTGATTTTTCTGAAAGTTATCAAAAGCATAAAAATGTTTTAATTTATTAAATTTGTTTATTTTATTTTATTAAAGAAAAAGGTTTCAAATGGAATTAATTTGGGAAATTTTGTCCTCAAAAATAAATAAATTTAATTAATTAATTAAATTTTTTTGGTCTGTATGTGCATAATAATTATATTTTCAAACAGATTAATATTTACTGAATCATTAATGCATTAATGATTAGTAATCATTAGTATATATTCATAAATAATTCATAATGATGAATAATGTTAATAATAACTTGCCTAGATTTTCCTTAGACACATTAATCTTTTTTGTATTTAAACTGCTATTAATGTAAAATTTTATAAAATTTTCTAAATTAGTACAAAAATTTTAACTCAAGTTTTATTCTTAAGATATTAAACGATTTAATTTTATAAGATACTGTGCTCTATTCCAATTGCCTTTTGGAGGTTCGACTCCGATGTTTTGCAACTTTTTATGATGCTCTTATATCTGTGTTGTGGCATGCTAATAAAGAAGTTAAAAATAGGCAGATGGTGCTTAATCATCAAGCAGACATTGTAATGCTCTATGAAGTATCAAAGGTTAAACTTTGACATCTCATAGGACTTAAGGTATTTGACTGACACCTAGTGATACGAGATGCAAGAAAACAATGCCACATTCCTGTTATATTTATGGTATGTTCTTGTTGTAACCTTTCAATTTTTTGGCAGAATTTCAGTGTGATTGCCCATGCTTCTGTTTCCGAGGAATTGTAGTCGTATCACACATCCAGCTTTCCTGCTTACTAGAGTTTCATTTCTTTGTGCAGTAAGCATGTTGGCAAGCCATGTCTTTTTCTGCTTGTTTCCAAAAAGGAACCATACCAAACTGCAACAGGTTATGTTATTCATTGCCTTTAGGCATACTTTAAACCTATACACTCTCATTAATCTGGTATTATATATAAAGAATGGTCAGATTAGCAAGAGTCTAGGGTGTATATATCTTACATATGCCATTCAGTCACCTCTGTTGCATAGCAGGTCATTATATTGGATGAAATTGTGGCTGGTCATGTATAGGTGACTAGCATCAATCATATTAGCATTTCTTAAAGCTCCCCAGCTAATTTATACTATATAAAAAGATAAAGAAATTAAAAATGACTTAATGTTTCTTACATTTCTTACATTATAACATGCTTAGTAACTATTCCTTTCTTTATTTTATTATAATATTTAAAAGGTAATTGATAGAGAAAACATCCATCATCATTTATAACATCATTAAATAATGTTTAAACATATCTGCAAAACTATGTGTTAAAGATGAAGTTAACATTACTGTACATGATTTGATGTAGAATTGCCAGGATAACTTATAATTTAGAGGTAGGGGACTACAAAAAGCACATTGTTGTACACAACAAGGGAGGGATGAGGGCAATACATTGTCTACATGGAGTTCTTATTGGTATTATTGGCATGTTAATTTGCCATTATAAGTCTATTTACCAATCATATGAATAAATTATTTGTTAGAAAATATTTACAGAACTTTCTTTAGTCATGTTGTCAATGTCAGGAGGGTCTGCAAACTATTGTACACAGTTAAAGAGAAGGGAGGCAAAAAATGGCTCAAAATAATGTAATCGATGGACAGCCTTTGTAGAGAAATATTTTCTTATTCATGTGTAGAATATTAAATAACATATTGTGTGTGTACTTTCTGTATATTTGGCTATAATTCTTTGATGATAAATTATTTTCTGGTAAATTATAATCACAATAAAATCTTCAGAAAAGGGTTTTTTATGATGATAAGATAATTAATATGTAATTATTAATTACTGGCATTATAAGTAATTATTATGACATTTACAAAATAGCAAAAAGAGTAATTTGTAAGATTTGATCCAAAAACGAATGGCTTGGTGCCAAGCTTGCTCGTCAAGAAATAAATAACTTGAATATGAATGAGGAAAAAATGTATTAATGAAAATAACTTTAATAAAATAACGTCTTTACATGTTGGAAGTGAAATATATTTCTTAAATTTCTCATACACATTAATGAATTAATTGGCATAGCCACTTAAAAATTGATATTATATAAATTTATGTAAAATTGCCTGGCTGATAGCCAGCTGGATTTGAAACAGTATGAAACCAGGTCAATAATTTCCATATCATTTAATTTATAGTTGAAATTAACTTTAAGATAAAAATTAGAACATAATTATTTAATTACTTAAGAACAGAACTGATATAGTGAATGGCCACATTTAGACATTAATCATTGGTGCAAGGGGGTGTGAAGGCTGATTTTTCTGACTGGCATGTATGGCTGATACTGATTAGTTCATACAAAATACCAGTTGAGATGGCTGCTTCTCTTCCTGACTCTCTCTGTTCTTTATCTTCATCCCCTTCTTTCTATTGCTATATTTCTCTTAATTCCAATTTCTAACATATACATATATATGTTGGAATTAAGAGAATATATATATATATATAAAATGCTTGTACTTTTTGGTGGTGTGATTTTTGTCAACTATTCAGCAGAATTTACCTACATTGGAAAGGTAAGATAGCCTGTAGCTTTGTCCCAGTAGTCATATAAAATACAATGATACAGTAAGTATGTATCTACATATATTTAGACTTAGACAAGATATGGGGGGCTACAGTTTTTAGCTCCCATTTAATGTCACAGAACATTATTTGTATGTATGGTCTGTTATTAGTTAATGCTAACCTGCAGGTATTTTTACTTATATGAATGTTCATTTTAATAAATATCTTTAAATTCTAATATTATGAAATACAAGAGTATTTTTAATGGAAGAATAAAACATCCATTCATTATATTTATAAATGAGTTAAATAAAGATAATGCTTACAGTTATTTACTTGATTAATTTTTGACTGTAAATTTAGCTGAACTGGGCGACTATGATCCTGAACAGCACACGGCAGGTGTCATATCTGAATTCCGATTTGTACCTGATCAAACTGAAGAAATGGAAATCCAATTTCTGGAAAAATTCAAAACTTGCAAGTAAGAACGTTAAATATTAACTTGATATTTATTATTATTATTAAGTTGTCTTACTTAAATCTGAGTAAGTTATCTAAACATTTATGAATGCCTAATTGAAAATAACTTTTCAATCAGGACATACCTCTAGGACCAATCCAAAGACTTTGAATGAGCTCAAGTCATTCATTAAGTATTAAATCTGATATTCTATGAGAGAGTATTCAAAATGTGATATCAAACTGGAGTAAGATTGCAATAGATTGAAGTTGAGAGTGAATGTATTAAACACATTACAGGTAGCCCTCAGTTTATGCGGATTCACAATAATGCTACTGCGCAATTTGCCATTTCGCAGTATAATTCTTCAATTTTTCCTACGCTAGAGTGATATTCATTTCAGTGTTGACATATTTACTGAGCCACGACATTGTACATTCGTTAAAACAAAGATTTTTATTGAATATATTTATTTTTTCTGTTTAATATTATTACATTTGCATTAAATTAATATTAAAATACTAAACGTTTAGGTACCCATGAGTCAAATTATTAAATTTAATAGTCCAATAAATGGCATCTGAATCCATAGCGCCAATGAATGTATCCCATATCAGTTCATTCAGGAAAACATCTTAAGACGCAGTAGCACTTCTGGCAATCACAAACTATTATTAATGAAACAAATCTACTTCTCGTTGGCCAGACAATACTTTTTTATTAGCCAGACGATATCTATCTCTCCTTAGCCACCTTCAATTTTCCCACTCAAACTGACCTTATATATGTGCTACAGTGACTGGTGGTCAACCAATCTCCACTCATCTGTAGCTCTACGTCGGGTTAACATATCCTTTCAACTATGGAAAGTTTGATGGATGAACTTTGTGAGTTAGACAATGATTGGAAGTGAAGTGCAAATGTAAAAAGGAGCATCATCGCATCCATTCAACCATATTCCAAAATTCTTAATGAAAGGAAACAAAAATGTAAACAATTAAAGATGGATACTTTTTCCTGAAAAATGTAAGAGATCCAAAACTAAAATTTTTTTAATAAAAACATTTCACTTTATTTTATGATAAAATACATTTTAAAAATTAAATTTATATGTATTTTGTATTATATTGTATTAATAAACAAAATTATTTGCTTATTTTTCACTTATGTAGAACCTAACCCTATACCTCACTGTAAATATGGGTTCATTTTATGCCGATTTGATTTGCACTGACTTTTGTAGGAACAGAACTGCGGCATAAACCGAGTGCTACCTGTATAATAAAAATGGCTTCAAGTGGTAATTTGAATATTTTAGCAAGATTTATATACCTTGTCATCCACTTATAATAAAGCTTCAAACTTGGTATACAGGGTGTATCGTATAGTCGTTATAGGCTGACATGTGATTGATGCACAACTTACAAGACAAGAAACAGTAATGAAGGCAGCATGAAGACATAGGAAAATGAAAAATACAATAAATAAATATATGAGAAATGAATGCAAACACATGAGAAATATACATTTCAATGTCTGTGCTTGACATGCATGTCAGCATTTAATGCTTTCTGTTCAGGCTATTTACATATGCAGGGTACCCTTTTGTACTAAACTAGCAGACCCTGCTATGCATTATTGTGGTCAAAATGTATCTATTATAAACAGTGCTGTAACTAGGCAGGTGCAACAGGTGCACCCACACAGGGCCCACCTGGAAGGGGGCCCAAAATGCATGTATTTGTTTTATTATTTTCCCAAACCTAATTAATTAAGGGGTCTAAATGCAAATTCTTGCACAGGGCACAGGAATGGCTAGTTACGGCACTGATTATAAAAGTATAACACTTCCCCGTGGAGGGGAATTTTTCGAAAAATCCCTTCTTAGTGTACATTCTGTTGATGTACCCTATTAAAACACAAAAAACCTCATCTGAAATAGTATAAATAGAAGCAGAGTTCTTCATGGTAAGTCTTAATCCTGTCCATCTCCCCCCCCAGTGGAAGGAATTTCGATATATATATTATGTAAAAACACATGCATATTCAAATGCAGTGTTGTGTCAAAATTTCAAAGGAATCTGTAGGAACAAACGAACATTATATTTTTATTTATATAGATAGATAGAAGATGATCTGCTTTAGTTCATCCTCAGAGAAAAGCATAATGCTGCATAAAAAAGCAAACTTAGGTCATCGTACTGGCGGAGTTAGTGCCATCTGTTGGACATAAAAGCCTTAATCCTAGACAATATCTTTTAATTTACATGGATGTTTAATAGAATAATATACAGCCTATGTTCACCCTGAAGTACCATTCTAAATATTGGTGAAAGAATTTTTTAAATTGGATGAGTAGTTTTTGAGATTACCTCCTACATCAAACTTACAAACTTTACCTTTTTATAATATTAGTATAGATTGGTCCTACTTTACAATTTTCTAATTGACTTTTTCCCATATCATGCATCATTTTTGAGATAGGTGAACTTCTGAATTTTACCACTAGGAGTGTGAAGCACTCCTAGTGGTAAAATTCAGAAGTTCAAAGCCTTTCATAGCACATAGTCACTCTATTATAACTATACATCACATTTGTGACTAGCTATCTGCATTTGTAAGTTATGTGATTATATAGTGAGTGACTTTACTACACACCCTGTATACTTTCTGGACCACCTTGTATAGGCATAATAGTCCAGCAAGAGAAATGTATTAAATAAAATGTTATTAAACTTAATAAATATATTGTAAATACAGTTTTTTATTAAAACAATCTAAAATGAACTTATCAATATTTATATACTATGTAAAATTATAATTTTTTCAGGGGTCAAACTCCAGCACAAGCTGAGATAAATTATCTGAACAGAGCAAAATGGTTGGAGATGTATGGAGTCGATAATCATTATGTTATGGTGAGTTTTATTAAAAATATTTATATATAATTCATGTTATTTTTTATTCATGACTACAAACTTTTTTGTAATCCAGGGTAAAGATGGTAATACATATTCCTTGGGCTTAACACCAACAGGAATACTAGTCTTTGAAGGAAATACAAAAATTGGACTGTTCTTTTGGCCAAAAATCACCAAACTGAATTTTAAAAACAAGAGGTTGACTTTAATAGTTGTGGAGGATGACGAAGAGGTAAAAGTAAAAATCTTCCTGGAAGTTTAACGGGAAGAGACTTACTTAATAAATTTTTTAATTATATATTCATATCATTTTAATAAATAAAATAAATCAAAATACCCTAATGCATGTTGTAATTAATATTAAATATTTTTGTTAATTAAAGCCTTTTCATGTCAGACTGTTATAAAAACAAATTCAATACAAACAATTATTATAAAAAAAAATTAAGTAAATAAAATAGATCATAATAGAAAATGAAATAATATATACGGGTTTTACTAGATTAGTTTTAGCAATATTGAGGAAATGACCTCTAAAATAATACAGTTTAATTCATGCATGGTATGAATTAATTGTCATATTGTGAAGACATTCTTATGATTTGGTGGAAGAAAAATTATTACTATAAATACATAAACAAACCTCGTGAAACCCAATAAATTTAAGAAGTCAAACAAGTACTGGATTACATCGGGATACTTTTCTGCAATTATATTTATTTAATAACTAAATGATAAGTCACTAGAGGAAGGTGTTATGCGCCATCTCTTATTACTTAATTCAATACTTCTTCCATCCATAATGGAGCACAAACTTCCAATATTTTGTATTAGTTTAATATTATGTTTGAAAAGAAGTTTGTAAATCTTCAATGCTGTTTGACTATCACTTTTTATGTTCTCTTCATTGTTCCAATGTAGTTTATAATAATGTTATATTTATATGTACCCAACAATTCTTTCCTGACTTGTGAATTCATTTTGGACAAAAACTTCCAGAATTTTTTGGGAATGTGTCATGCCTTGTCCCTCACCACCTACAGTACCTACTCCACTGTGAACCTGGCCCAACACATGATATTCCAGAAAAAAAAGTCCACTTTGTGCTCACAAGACAGAGTAAAAAAATACTATATAATAGTAAAACCTAATTTTCTTTTCCATTTTTATCAGCATTTTTTTCAATTATCTGTGTGGTGCAAGATCACAGTCTTGGTAAGATTCCCTGACTCAGTGCCACTGTTAGTATCCACTTCTCAAAAAGTTCAAATGAGTTTAGTTTGAAAGGAAAATCATGGCAATTGTTTTTTGGGATTGCAGAGAAATTCTGTTATTTGATTTTTTAAATAATGGAGAAATAATTAATGCATTTCAATATTGTGAGAAATTGAATAAACTTTGATAAACCATTAGACAAAAATGGCTTGGAAAGTTTTGGCAAAAATACATACAGTAGAGAGTCAATTATCCGAAAGAATTCCAGTCGACAAATTTAAATTTTCGCTAGTGCTGTGGCGCTGCTATCTTTGGCGTTGCAATCTATGGCTACTCAAATATTTTACGTTTTTGATACTAAATTAACTTCTGAAGTATAATTTTTTATTGTTTTTATATTTTTCAATATATTTATTTTGTTTTTACAAAGTAAAAAAAAATACTTTTTAATGATACAATAGTCTTCGTTAGTCTTAACATCGACGAAAATTCAACGTGAAGCGACACGTAACTGAGAAAAATTTCAACATCGGATACGTTAAACTATTTTTTCGTACATAATCGGTTATCCGAAATATAAGTTATCCAAACAACCCCAGTCCCCAATTGATTTGGATAATTGACACTCTACTGTATTCATAGTGCAAGATAATGTAACTCACCATGACAATATAACTTTTGTTTGATTAAAAAAATATATATATATATGTTACTGCTAAAGCTCGAAATCCGTTAATGTGTACATTACCTAGCTAATCTGCAGATTAACTAGGGTGATCCGTTAAAGCTGCAAAAAATGTTCAATTTCTCAAATTACCTAGGTAATTTGCAGAGTATCTAGGTAATCTGCACATTAACGGCTTCCGTATCGTTAAAGTTCAAAAGTTTGTTTCTTTCACTTCCTTTCCCCACTCCTTCTTTTTACGTAGATAAATTTAAATCCTAGAATGCAAGCAAGCACCGAATTGGTGAGTAAAATCAAGAAAAGATTCTTCGCAAACCTCTTTAGCGAAGATTTAAAATATAATACGTAGTGTTTTAATAACAAACCAAAGTATGATTCCATAATTGAAGATGTAAAGCAAATAAAAGTTTCCAAGAAGAAAGAATCATCTCGAGATTATCAAATAATTCAAAGGTGTGATGTGTTGACTGTACGAGGCTGTGAAAAACTCATTGAGCCGTTGTCAGATGCGCGAGAAAGGTTTGAAAAAGTTTGTCCATGCCGGAGAATTGTTTGACATTCGATAAAAACTGAAGAAGACCTTGAAAAATTAGAAGATTCACAAGAGACTGTGATTATGAGATCACAGTCAAATCTTACTCAAGAGGACATTCCGTTATCCCCCGCTTCTACAGAATCACCTATAGAAATACAAGAATTTACCGATAGTAATCTTAAACTGCCTTCTATACCGTTGATTGATGATGCAGTCACGAAGAATATTCAGTTACCCTGCACCTCCAAGGAATCGCCTCTGCAAGTTGAAGAAGTCATCACTGAGTTACTCTCAACTTCAGCAGAATCGCCATCACAGTTTCGTACGGAGCCTGTAAAGAGCACTATACAAGACATAGTCTGTATTGTTTGCTCAAAAGCAGCATCAAGTGCTCACAAGTGTAAATCGTGTAATATGTTTGTTCACGCAGTTTGTGGTGAAGTAGATCCTAAAGAGGAAGGGTATGGTAAGAATGTATTGTGCATCATCTGTAAAAAGAATATGGATCAGAAAATACAGCGTGATGAAGCCAAGAAATGTTTAGAAAAGCAAGCAAAGAAAATGTTAGCAGTTTCTAATGCAAAGCACCCAAACGTCGATGAAGGTTTCGCTGTGAGAATTAAAGTACCCGAAGAAGACAGAGCAAAAACTGATGCACGTTCAATTTTAGCTGTGGTTCTTAGTAAAACAGAGGATGGCTTTTATAAACTTGATACTAAAACAGGTATTTTAAAACAATTGTATGCAAAATCTGAATTCAGTGTTTGCAAAGAGAGATTTTTAACGAAAGAAGATGGATGTCCCTGCTGTAGAAATATCTTTACGTCAAACAGCAATAAAACAATCCCTTGGTACTGGGCAGGGTTTCAGAAAATGTGACTGCAAATCTAAATGTACCACAAATAGGCGTGCTTGTCGCAAAAACCAATTGCTACGTAATTCAAAGTGTCACCAATCTTTAGATTGCACTAATAAGTAAGTACAATTTTATCATATGTTTTGCAAATTCATTTCCCTAATTGTAGTAATATTTTAAACCGTTTGATTTTTGTATTAAAGTTTTTTTAATTGATTGATGATTGATTCAATCAACTAATTTGTTGATTGTATTAACTTGATTCTTTAGATATTGAAAATTAAATAAATAACATTATGTTAATTTAAGCGTACAGAAACGTTGCTGTTGTTCCAGCAAAAATCTTATTTTCACTTTACCGAGTGCCTAGTAGGTAATTTGCAGATTACCTAGATAATCTGAACATTACCTAGGTAATTTGAGAAATGGAATAATTTTCGCAGCTTTAACGGATCACCCTAGTTAATCTGCAGATTATCTAGGTAATGCGCACATTAACGGATTTCGAGCTTTAGCGGTAACATATATATAGCTAGGAAGTAAAGAGCACCCTGTGCAGGGATGGTGGCACATTTGCCTACCTGTAATAAAATTAATTAGTAACTAGTTATTAAGATGGCTCAATAATTCAGCTGAACATTTGGCATCAATTACTACCTTTTTGGATTATCTAAGCTGTAACATAGCTAATTTAATGATTAGATGTAAAGCTACAGATATAGAATTTGGCTATAAGTAGGCATTTCAGCTGCCATCTAATTATAAATTTAATAATTAGAAATAAATTTTAATTAAAATTCAGAATATTCTGAATTATGCCAACTGAACTGCTGGATTATTTAATAATCCAGCAGTTCAGTTGGCATTAGTGATTGAATTGGGGTGATATATGTTACTGGGAAAATTATGTAGAATAATAGTTTTAATTTTTGTGAATATTTCTGTAAAATACAATGGAACGAGGTCTATAGAAAGATATGAAAATAAAACAGTATTTATTTTAATAAGAGAGGATCAAAAGAAAAATGAAATTCATAATGTTGCAATGGAAGCAATTATTTCATGTATAAGACTGCCGACTACCTTGTATGCTAACATTTAACAAAACTGTATGTAACTTTCAGATTTATTCAATATTTTCTTAAGATAACCTGAGCATTGCTGGATACACAGTTATATAATTAGATTTATTGTAACTTTTTATTATGTTCCAATTCTTTGTGTCATCTGATGCACTTTTTTTTCTGTTTTAGCAGCCTTTTTCAATTGTCTGGTTGATTGTAATTGACTTGTTGGGCCACGCTGGCTATAAATCTTAAAATCCTAGAAAATTTGGCCCTTTCACATGTTGTTTGACCATCTTTTTAAAAAGATTTCCATCTTTCATACAGATCATTTGAGTATTAAATTTTTCAAGACGCACAATCATGGTCTCTTGTATAATTTTCAGGGTAAAGAACAAGAACATACATTTGTGTTTCGCTTAGTCAATAATAAAGCATGCAAACATTTGTGGAAGTGTGCCGTCGAACATCACGGATTCTTTCGTTTACAACAACCCATAAGAGGAGTGAATACTAGACAGAATTTCTTTCGTATGGGATCAAGATTTAGATATAGGTAGAAATAGTCCTTTTAGAATACTTTTTATAAAATTCTAGAATGAATAATAATAATAATGAAATTATTACAAAAGTTGCTTTTATATAATAATAATATTGCTTTTCAAAATCTTTCGAAGCGGGAAGACGGAATTTCAGACAATTCAGCATAACAGAGTGCGGCGAACCATTCAGGTGGAACGTAGACCGAGTCAGAGATATTCCCGTCGTCCAACTCACGATCGAAACAGAGAAATGGCCAATCACACTCGGAATGAAGTGCCATCTGTGGAAACTACTAGGTAGAAAAAGTTTATATTTACTAATAAAACTTCTTAGAACAACTATGTTGATAAAGTAGTAATAAAATTGAGTGTAAATTATTTTTATTCAGCATCAGTGAACCGCCAGCTCCTGTCACTAATATAACAACTATTGGTGCGGTTGCAACTGCACCTCAGGATGAAGAATCACCATCACCGTTACCAAAATTGGATACTGAAGATAAGAAAACTGCAGAGGAGAGATTAGACAGCCTCATAAAATCTCTTACAAAAGATAAAATTCCAGCGAGTTCTCTGAGTAAATCTAAAAACGAATTTTCAGCTGTTAATACATCAAAACAGAATTCCATTCCAGAAAAAACATTAGGTGATTTTATGAAAAATTGCTTATATTTATTAGTAAAAGAAATTATTCTGTAAATTCTATATTTTCTATCATAAATTTCTGATTTCACTTTTATCATTCTTCTGTTTTTCTTCCATTAATAGTTGGATCAGCTCTTAAATACCAATATGAGAAATGGAGAATGGGAGAAGAGCTATGTAAATAACTTCTCTTTTATTGAATCGAGAGAGAGAGAGAGAATATTATCAAAATAATTTAATTATATTATGTATTAAATTATTTTTTTAAATATAATTAAAAACAGTAAAACTTTTCTGGATGACCACCCCTTTTAGATTACCAAATTTAACCCTCCTTTAGTCAACNGTTAGTATTGTGATACAAGTTACTGTGGTTGTTCTGTTACACTAAATAATATGATAGAGACAATGAATATAATATTCTCATTAATAGAAATAGATAAAATGGTGATTTATGATGACAGATTTTAATGGGATTGGACTGTAAGACCAAATAGAAATGAAATATTGAAGACATTATCTTATTGAAGACATTATCTTATTGAAGAAGTTAAAACAGAGAAAGTAAATGCATTCTTTCAGATTACTTAAACTTACCAGACTGTACGTATTACATATTCGTGTACATTACACAAAATTACATGTGATATATTAATAAACTAGGTTTGCCTGTGTTGGCTGGACACCTTGCTCTCCTCACCCATAGAATTTAACATTGTGAAATTTGACCTTGTTCTGTATCTACTGTACTACATCTCCAGTCACAGGTTGAATTTTGAAATGTTTGTCTCATGACCTAAATTGAGATGATTTTATTTGTATGCAAAAAATGATTTTGGTATGTTAATAGTTTTGGAGGAATTATCCGTCACACAAATATCAGTCATTGCTAACAGAAATTCGCTTAGTGAATTCTCTTCCAGTATAGTGCTAATTAATACAAACGTTTTAAAATAGTTTTTGCCGTATTGCCTACATGGCTTGGATAGTTTTACATTAGAATACCATATATGCTTTATAGTACTATGCATATTTCCATCATGTCCTTTTGATAAGACCACCCATCAAAATGCCCTTTTCCCTAAGTTTTGGGATGGTCATCTTAAAGAGGTTCTACTGTACTTAATTTATTCATAAAAGAAAACATTCATTTTTAAAACTTATTTTTTTATACAGAACATTTAAGTTTTGTTAAACATAAGGTGATTTTTATGCATCCTACACTTAATTTCTAATTATTAAGATATACATTATCAAATTGTATTGGTAAAAAATTCCAAAACCTCAACTTTTAATTATATTTAATATTTTAAATAATGTAATTTTTAAACAAAAAAAGAATTAAGCAATACATTAAATTTACATAATTGAAAATCTAAAGTATGAGATTATTAATTAGCTCTAACAACTGTTAATTAGGCCATTAAATTAAATTATTTACACTATGAGAAACAAACAAATTTAACAAATTTTAGGCTAAGATTTTAGTCTCTCAAATCACAATATATAGTGAGGAGCAGCAATGATTAATATACTTATTAAAAATAATTACTCTTCTTAACTTTGTATATATAATTATTTAATGAATGGAATAACTAAATTAACAAAATTCTGTCTTCTTTTACTGTTGCTTAAGCAATTATTTATTACTTTCATTTAATTTTTTGAAGGAGTAACACTGTATAGTTTTTATAAACGCATTATCTTCTATAAATACTAGCAACACAATTTGATAATTGATTATTTGTAATAAATTGAACAAAACTGATATTTTTTTCAACAGATGCGGAAGATTTAACTTCAAAGTTAAAGTCATTGGACGAACCAGCGAAGAGTTCAACTTCCTTTACAGTCAGTAAAGAAGAAGTGGTAGTACCGAATAATCAAGTACACTGCAATAGTGGCGGTGCTCGTCCTATTCCTCCCGAACAGATGAAATGCAATATATTGAAAGCAAAGAAAGAAGAAGACACTAAAAAAAGTGAGTTTTATTATAATTACAGTACCAGACCAAATATCCAACTTCCGGAAATCTGGAATTATCAGAAAACTGGCTTTTTTTGAAACTGTCTAGTTTGGAATTTGTCAGGATGTTATATAGCTGTAGTTTGCTGTGCTACTGTCGACGCTTCACACAATTCCAGTTAGACTGTTGGCATACATGTTAACAACAATTTTGTTTTTATTTTCTATTGTTTACTATAAATTTTAAGTATATATTTAACCTGAATCGAAACAATTTCTGATTTCAAGTTTGCTGGATATTTGGTCTGATACGGTATTAGAATTATAATAAGCATATTTCACTTAAGAAAGCATTTTGGAAACATTTTGTTAAATGTTTCTTTAAATTAAATTAATGGCAAATGATGCATGAGAAAGTATTTCTATTAAATTACAAAAAAAATTGTAAACCTATAAATTCTCACTGTCAGCCATCTGTCCATCTGGCTGTCTGTGTTTCCTTAATCTTGAAAACAGTGTTAGATAAATGAAATTCAAGACCAGATATGGGAAGCTTAGGGAAAGGAGGCTGCGATTTAACATCTGATGCAATCCGAAAGTCACATTATTTCAATTCAAAAATATTCTTCCAAAAGGAGTTAGATAGATGACTGGCACAATTTCATTGTTAATGGAAAAGTATGATGTACAGAGGCAAGTCACTACTGATCTGAGGTGGAGAGCTTATAATTTAAATTAAATAAATTAAAAATATGATTGAAAACTGCAGCCCAGCATTGTGCCGATGTCACAATAAATAATTGCTCATTTATTTTCATATTTTTAAGTGTTATATTTTAATATATGTATTATATAATTATAATATAAATCTTATAAAATTGTCTTTAATTTTATTTCTGACTACTAATTTTTTTTACATTACATCATAATATTTTGGCTTGTGCACACGTTTTGTATATACAATACTTAAATTTAATACAAAAAGCTTAATTTAAGAAACAGTTATTTACGTTTATTATTATTGATGACAACAATATTTCTGTAGTGTAAAAAATAATCCTCAAATGCAATTGCTCTATAGAAAGCAATGAAGAATCAAACTTTGAAGGAAATCATAACTTTCTGAATTGTCTGACTGTAAGTTTGCAAGTATAAAGACCAGATGACCAAGTGATTAAGGTGGCAGCCTAATGCTGTTGGGTCCCGGGATAAAATCGAGACGGGTCAAGCAACCCCAGGAATTTTTTGGGGAGTGGTCAGTCTAGACACATTGGGGTTCTGTTCCTCATCATTTGGCTGTCCCACTGTGAACCTGGTCGACGATCAACTTTAGTATGTTTAATTAGTCCTTTTCACATTTTAGGAACATTATATCACACAATATAATTTGAATAACAGTAATAGTCAAAAAAATTTCTGGTTAGTATTGTGATACAAGTTACTGTGGTTGTTCTGTTTCTATTCTCTTTACATGATGACAATAATGTAATAATTATTGAAAATACTAGCGATAAATGTGTAAGTTTTGTTATAAACACTAAGACAGTTTCTTTTTCTCGTATTCTGGTGTGGGTCTGCTGTGATTTTGTTTTTTTTTAATTATACAGTACTAACTACAGAATAATGTTTTAATGGCTTTGTATGTTCAGATGAGAAGAGTGTACAAAGGAAAGTCAGCCATGTTGTGTGATGTAAACAGGACAAATTTTAAAATAATNCATATAGTAAACCAAACTCAAATTATATAGTCATAATTAGATGATAACATGTAACCAAATTACATAATCAGATGTTATGTAATTTTGAGTAAAGGTAGGCAATTAAGTCACTGTCTTATATTAAATTTATATTAATTAATTTACAGTATTCCTTAAGTCCAAATTACGTAATACTTGTATATTTAATTAGCCATGTTATAGCCTGATAATGGATCAAGCATTATTGTTTGATTATTAACAAATTTGACTTAGATATACAAATTAGACTACATTTGTTAGTTGAATCATTATTATTGTAGCCTGAAAATATCCAATTAATTAAATGTATCGTGTGTTAAATAATGCCATATAATAAAACAAAAACTAAATACCTTAATTAATTGATGTATATCTAAATATAGGATGTAAATTATATCAAGTCAGTGCATTGTCAAATTTCACTTGGCTGGTATAGTCGAGCTGCTTTTAAATTGGAATCTGTTAGATTAATGTATTGCTGAAGGGAATAATTGCAAAATAAAAATAAAATATGCAATATATTAGCAAAAAATATGCTAAGTTGAATGATCTGTTTAAAATTTGACCTTGTGTTTCAGTCATTTGAAGAAATATAACAGAGTTAGTTTCCAATAAAGGAGTCATCCTGGCTTATTAGTTTCATTATGCACAAATGATGATGCTTGAGTATGTTATGATCCATTCTGTCTTTACTTTAACAGATGCAAAAAGATTGAGATGACTGCAAGGTCTGGTGGCTGAGATGGCAGCCTACCACCGTGGGGGACCTGTGATCAAATTTGGACAGGTCAAAATACCCGGAGGATTTTTGGCAGGTGGTCTTTTCAGATAACTGAGCCCCTCCTTTGCCACCCAACTGCCTTATTGTGGGTCTGGCTTAACCCATAATGGGCTTGCTGAAAAGAGATGCTCTTTTTGTATTTTTATTCTAACTGCCCACAGGGCAGAAAGAGTTAGAATAAAAATACAAAAAGATATGAGAAATTCAATTAATGAAAAGAATTAATGATATATTTTTAAAACATTCTAAATATTGCTCATAACATAAATGCATTTTATGTTATATTGTGTAAAAAATTATATTTAACCACAAAGGTTTAAAATTTAATGTGGATTCTCTTCTTGAGAAATTCCTTCGTCTGGAAGCTCTGTTGAGAGAGGAAGTAGAGAAGTTGTTTACATAAAAACAAGATGTGTGAGATTTAAATGTAGCGTGGTTAAAAAAAAAAAAACAGTACGGGCTGTTCTTGCTTTATGCAGTTCAATATATGTGAAATTTAGTTACTGTAGTAACTGTAAATAATTGCATAATGTACAGACTTTGCTGCTAATGCTTTAGTCCACAAACGACTAAATAATAGATGTGCATCATGATTGGTGTCCATTTGCATCTCTTCTTTCAAAGTTGCTGCATGTCTGTTGTTCAGTTTATGCACAGACATCAAACCTTGTGTTGAAATTTTAAATTTATCTGAGTGAAAGCCACTAGAATTTGTTGTATGACATTATTTCATGCATTTTTGAATCCATGTTTTTTTATCTTGCACCGCAGTTATTGCCAATAAGTGTTTAAATGACTAATAAATAATGAGCCAAGTAATTGGAGTTTCACATTGTAAACAAATGGCTATTAGATGTTAAATGTCTTACTAGAAAACAGTTCAGCAGTCTTCTTTCTCACTTCTTGTAAAAATCCTTAACAATTTGTTTTCCACTTGTAGTCATATTTTACAAAAATGAGTAATCAAAAGAGGGAATTTGTGGCTAATAAGGATGAAAGTGCAACAAAGAATCGATAAAGGATAATATTAGCAGTGAAAATGGATGCAATTAGAAAGTTTGACAAATATTTTTAAACGTTGTGGAGAATAGAGTTAATATACAAGGTATGAGTCATATGTATAATTATATTGTGAGGGCTAGCCATGGGTACTGAGTAACTATGACCATAGTATCACTTAATCAGCAACCATTCTTTAGAATAGCCCTCTGTTTGTCTAAAAGGATGGTTTTCTATTCAAAGAAAGTCGAGTGCGGAGGGACTTACAGATTTAAGATTATTTTAAAGTGGGATTAGAGGATTTTGTAATCACTCGTTCCCTCGTCAGGATTCCCGACACCATATCTTAATCAAATTTAGATACGCGGATTAACATGCATTTGATTCGTTGAAGGAATATGTTTGATTCAGACACTTGAGACATTCCTTTAACAATAATAAAACCAAATTTAATAAGACAGATGAATAAACTATACACAATGAAATAATTAATCTAAAAGTTTTGAGAGAGAGAGCTCACAATTTTCTAATATAATCATACTATCTCTGTAGGTTTCCTCTTCTACTTTATCTTTAGTTTCTTTATACTTTAATTCCTGCAGTTCATATACTTCAGCTCGTGGTAAGGTCTTGAATGGTACATAATAAAAATTTTCCTATCTTACTAACTTGAACTCATTATTAAAATCTGCGGGATACGACTTGGGCGTCGGCTATTTGGGATGCGGTATGGAATACGTCTGTCTTCTATGAGATTCCTCAGCATACTCCTAACTAAGGGCATTGGCCTTAGGGAGCCAATATGGAATACATCTTCCTTCTATGGAATTTCGTGGCGTACTCCTCGAATCATGCAAAATCATTTCTATTTCTCATGATTTTCATCCAATCAACATTTTGGATTCTCTCGTGTGAACAGAGGAAAAGGGGATTGATTGAGGGGTCGACAGTTCCCAGGGTGCTGAGATTGTTAGTAGATAAGGGTAAAACAAAAGGATGTTTCAACTTCCGTTAAAGCAAGTGACTTTTTATCAATTTCCCATGTTTAGAAAAACGATATTTTCTCACCAAAATTAAAGAATATTTTCCATTAAAAATTTAACTTTATAATCAAATTATTAATTAGTCACAGGGTCTATTCAGATCTCACATTATTTATAAGTAATTATTTAGTGTAATAGCACAATAAAGGAATTTGTCCATTTGTTCGATATTGGGCTCTTATAATTTATCATAGATAATATAACTAATATGTAACATATATAGATAATATGTGTATCAGTTAATTNGGAACATTATATCACACAATATAATTTGAATAACAGTAATAGTCAAAAAAATTTCTGGTTAGTATTGTGATACAAGTTACTGTGGTTGTTCTGTTTCTATTCTCTTTACATGATGACAATAATGTAATAATTATTGAAAATACTAGCGATAAATGTGTAAGTTTTGTTATAAACACTAAGACAGTTTCTTTTTCTCGTATTCTGGTGTGGGTCTGCTGTGATTTTGTTTTTTTTTAATTATACAGTACTAACTACAGAATAATGTTTTAATGGCTTTGTATGTTCAGATGAGAAGAGTGTACAAAGGAAAGTCAGCCATGTTGTGTGATGTAAACAGGACAAATTTTAAAATAATCTAAAGCTATTGAGACACTAAAATAATTTATGAAATTTATAACAATTTTCTGAATAGATGACATCTTTAGCATAATTTTGGTATTTATTATTAGATGAAAATTCTTTGGCTACGACTCAAGAACCGACTGCAGATATCGATGACATCCAGTTAATTTTTGACAAATTAAAAATGGACTTATTAAATAGGTAAGTCTCTATTAATTATATATTTCTTGAATGAGAGTTTTAAAAATAAATAAAATTTTGATTAGAAAAGCTATCCCAGTAATTACTTCAAATATCAAACAATCTTATTGAAGAAGTTAAAACAGAGAAAGTAAATGCATTCTTTCAGATTACTTAAACTTACCAGACTGTACGTATTACATATTCGTGTACATTACACAAAATTACATGTGATATATTAATAAACTAGGTTTGCCTGTGTTGGCTGGACACCTTGCTCTCNTATAAAAAAATCATCTCTTAAACTCGTTTGTAACTCATGTCGAGTCGTTTAATTACAACGTCCCTTTTTAATTCAATGCATCCATTTTCCTTCTTGTAATTTTTATTCACGTAATAAATTTTAATTAAATTTTTTCAGACAGTCCGAACAAATTGAATACCGCGACACAAGTAAAAAATATGCTAAACAAAAATGTATACAAGTTAAAATTATCAATTTTACTCTTCGGGCTAGATGGCGCGACATGTTGCCTAACTTACTTTTTTCTAATTACGTAATTTTCTATAAAAATTTAAAGTGCACGTGTGTGGCTTTATTAACGTTTTTGATTTTATAACTTACTCGTTACTTTTTAGGAATTAAATATGTCTTAAAATTAGCAGTAATTAACGCCAGCTTAATCTATATTATGCATCCAATAAACAGTAAACAGTTTTGCCGAAAGTTGGCGTAAATGTTTAGAAGGTCAATTACTTATGAGGTGTGTAAAAAACGTGAATATTTTAGACCTCGTAAGCAAGTAGGCTCAATGTATAAAACTTCAGACGCCTTATTAATATTTTATGCGTTAATAAATATAAGATATATAAGTGAGAAGGGAGAACGTATCCTTCCAGGCCTCATATTTTATTATATAAAATGAAAAGGTGAAACAGAATTAAGTGATACAGTCCATAACTATACATTTGAGAGGAAATACATTTATTTTAGATTTATATTCTACTTGCACTCTTTTTTTTTCTTTGTTTCTTTCTTCTTCTTTTGAGTGAAATGTGGTGAAGAGTAATGATTGAAAACCTTGGGCACCCTTCCAGAAAAAAGGAGGAGGAAGGGGGGAAAAGGAAAGAAAATTAAATTTATCGGGAATATTCGCGCCATTTTAAAATAATAAATAAAATAATCATATAAGGGTTTATTAAACATTAACCTTTATGTTTAAGGAAGAATTTTTTGGGATAGAGCCATTTAACATTTAGGACAATCTTCTTTTTCTTCCTTTCCTCCTCCTCTTAATAAAGGTCAACATAAAAGGTGGACATTTATTTAAAAAATTAAATTATTTCTTTTATTTTGTAATTTATTATAATTTATGCAAAAATAAAAAATTTATTGGTTAATGGGCGTGGCTTATTATTTAAATGCGCCAATCGCCTGGCGGTACGTAAATTAACATAATTTATTCGGCTAATTAACATAATTCCACGCCTTTTTTAAAGAATTGCATATATTATGTTCATTGCGATATAAATTATGTTAATTTTTTAAATGGCGTGTTAAATTCGTAATATTAAAAAATAATCTTGATGAGTAATGAGGTTTAAGAGTGTAAAACGCGATCGAAATTAATCAGAAGTTGGAGTGATGTGCAGTTATCGTGGATTTTTACATTTGCTAAAAATAGTTACTAAATTATATAAAATCATAAGAGACTGTAACTTTTATGAGATATAAAATCACGAATGAATGACTAAAATACTACCAACGGCTCTATATATATCCATCGAATATTGTTACTAACCTCTCATAGCCGACAATATGAACAATGACAGCTATAGAGCTGGATCTTACAAGAAAAATATGCATAGTTCGATATTCTCTCACAAATTCGAACATAAAATTGCATTTAGTGAGCAACTACAAATATGTTTCTATATAATAAAGGCTGCTGAAGGTCTGGTCTGTTCAAGATGCTCTTGAACATTGTCAAAGAAACAAATCCGAGTTGCAGAGCATTGTGTGAAACATATTTTTGGGCATACAACTTAATTATTTCAGTTGAATTTTGTAGCAGCTTGCTGAGGGTGCAGCAATCAAGAGTTAACGAAGAATATAAAATTCTTTAAGGCTCTGTGCTAACAAAGAGGGTTAAATTTATATCTGTAACACTATATTGAGTCGTAAATAATAATAATAGTAGCAGAAAGGTGTTGTTTTATACAGGCAGATGGCCATAAAATATTCCAGAATAGAAATTTTGTAGTTATGGCATCTTACAATCAAAGCGTAAGTAGGGGTGGTTTGATTTTTTCTTTATAACAAAACAAAATTTAACGTATTGCTTGTGTACTTTTTCTTGGAGTTCAAATAATTTATAACAGTATGGAGCAATAACAAATACGACTTTCGATCTGTATAATATATAAAAACGTAGAGCTCAAGTCATTCTATCTTCACGAAAATGCATTATAAGACATCATTGCTCCTAAGACAGCTTTAAAAGTAGCACATTCTACAACAAGAAAACGGTTTGTAGGTGTGCAAATGTATATTTAAAAAAGGGAAATTATCAATAATACTAATCTGCGTTGACGGATTTTTCAAATATGCTTGGATACATTAGAAAATGGTACTCATTCATCCTGTAACAAAAGGATTTTAAAAGTCCTGCAGATAATGGAAAGTTACGTAAGCGATGAAATCACAGTTTATTCCTCCCCGTAGAAAACAATGAACTGTAATTTAAATTGTATTTTGGAAGGAGAAAACGTATAAAACACGTGGCCTCCGCCCAATTTTGCTATTTAGATCTATATGCGATCAACGTCTGTCGTCATCGAGAACAGACGTTACATCTCATGAAATATTTAAAATTTTTAAGTCGTGTAATAATTAATTAAAAACAGGGGAAAATATGGTAATTAATTTGCAATTTTCAACATAATTCAGCAAATATCCTGTTAAAATCCAAGCATTCTTTAAATATTTGAGTTGAAATCGTAAAGTAATGACTGCATTAAACTCAACGACCTCTCCTAATTAACAGATAGTTGCTATTGTAATTATCATTATTTGTTCTTTTTTTTAAAAAATAAAAATTTATATTATATTTTTAACTTTAAACAATATTTAAATAATCTTCAACCTGTTTAAAAATTTATATTTAAAATTTTATAACCGAAATGATAATTATTATAGGCTCGTCATATTAACATAATTTAAATTATGATTATGACGCCATAAAGGAGCATAGTGTTACGTATAATAAATTAAATTTCGTAGTAAATATAGTATTCGAAGGCCTAGTTTCGTCTCATTAACATAATTAATATTTAAAGGATGGGCCTTTTATTGTTACGTCATAATGGCCTCCCATTTTTAAACATTATTAGCATAATTTTTATTTTAAAAAAATATTTAAAAATTTGAAAAATGCGAAACTTACATAATTATAATTTACATTGTTACGTAAGATGTGACACAATAATTTAAATAAAAAGGGGCGTATATTCGTAATTTATGTTACTACGTAAAGTATGACGCAATAATTAAACAAAAAAAAACGTATTTTTTTTTAAATTTCTTTTGTGACGTCAAGATTTAGCCACATGTAATTAATATTTATTTATTTATTTTATCGAAAATATTTAAAAATCGATATTTTTTTATTTTATAATTTTATTCTTAAGCCAAAAATTTCAGTTGTTCTGATTGAAATAATTGGAGAATTTATTAATTTTTCCTTTTGTGTTCGAGTTGGCGAATGATGTTTGGAGTTATTTCAAAGACCTAACTGACTCTCCAATCAGTAAAGCTGACGAGTAGTAATTTGCTTCTCTCAATGGGCGGTCCATACAGACCACAAATTCCATTACTGAAGGGTTATTTTAGGGATTATTCTCATTTTATTTGCGTTTTTACTCGTTGAAAACATGCAGACACACGGACGGACAGGAGTAATCGAGCGTTAATTTTTTTCTCGTTTAAAATTTGCACGAAAAGAGGAAGAATTCCAACTTAAAAAATGAAGTTTTGTTAGCTGCAAGTAAGCATAAAAAGCGGCACGCTTACTTCATGCAGGTGCAAAACATGAATTTTTTCTACCGTCCAAGAACACTAGACCATAATTAAGAGCGGGTAGGAGCAAAAGACAAAGTAACAAGCAAGCAGTTGGTTGTGAAAACTACAAATAGGCTCCATCCCAATGGAAATTAAGCTTAAGCGTGGAAAATCTCTAGTGACAGCAAAACGATAAGCTTTCGGACATGCTCCATGCAGATGCCCGCACACAAACGTCACTGTATCGATCACGTCACGTGTCCCATTTAAACTTCGTGTTTGGAGCAGAAGGGAGGACGGGATGCCTGTAGGCTGGTGTGAGAGATGCCCGCTTTGCTCAAGTCGTCATTGATGACATTGGCCTTCCCTGGCATGTTTATTGCTTACAAAATAAATGAATTGAAGAGGAGACACCAAGAGCAAAGTCACAGGAAGGTCACAGAAAAGGAACTCACACAACTGCACCATAAGATAGTAAGTACTGTACATCTAACAAAACTTTTCTTTTATCAATAACTTTCGAAAATAATTAATTCCCATCCTCGTTACAGAAAATATCGTGTTGTAATTATTCATAATTTAGTCTAGAGGAATGGAATTAAATTTTTATGGATTCGGAGGAATTTAAAGTTTGAAAAAAAAAGAATTTTTATTAGAGTTTTCAGTTGGGTACTCGAAATAATCGATCTTCTATGCAGAAACGATGCCGAAGAAGTAACATACCTTCGTGTAACTCATTTTTTTTCGAATCCTCAATCCATAAATCTCGGTTAATCTAAATGTGTTTGATACCCAATCGCATAATCCTCAATGGGATGCAATGATATAGAAGAATGGATGATTTGGTGGCATGGATAATTGAATTTACACTCAGGACAAGAGTATAGGACGTGTTCCCGTTGACTTTATTCCTTTGGGGCTATTACATTACGGTACAGTAACTCGGTGGCTGTGTGTGTGTGAGAGTGTGTAGACATCCCCCCAC